TCATAGCTTTGATTCCAAAAGCAAAAAATCCAGAAGATGCTTCTCACTTCGGGCTAATAAGCTTGTGCAATATAGTGTACAAAATAATTTAAAATATCCTAGCAAACGGACTGAAACCAATTCTAAATGATATCATTTATGAAAATCAAAGTGCCTTCATCAATGGGAGGGAAATCTCTAATAATATCTTGTTAGCTCATGAAGTAATGCACTTCATGACTCATACAAAAGCTATGAGTGGTTTTGTGGTAGTTAAACTCGATATGAGCAAAGCATATAATAGAGTAGAGTGGGAGCTCTTGGAATTAACAATGGAGAGAATGGGGTTTGGTAGCACTTGGATATCTTGGGTAGTGAAATGTGTTTCTACAGTCTCTTTCCAAATTCTAGTAAATGGAACCCCCTTAAAAGGAATCTATCCTCAGAGAGGGCTTAGGTAGGGAGGTCCTTTCCCTCCTTACATTTTTTTGCTTTGTTCCGAAGTTTTCTCTTCTATTTTCAATCACAAAGTTGGCAAAAAATGAATTATCTGTAATCAAAATATGCAAGTTGGCTCCAACAATATCTCATTTATTTTTTTGTAGATAACAATTATATTTTCTCGAAAGCCAATATCAAGGAGGCAAGTACTTTATTGGATTCCATCACTCTCTTTGAAATAGCCTCAGGACAACAGGTGAACTACAAAAAATCAGAAGTTTTTTTCAATAACAATTTTATGCAAAATTAAAAAAAAAAACTAGTCTCAAATTATCTAAAAATTAAAAAGGTTGATAATCCATACGTTATTTGGGTTCCCATGCTCTTATAGGCCAAAAAAAAGTTGCAAACCTTTGAGTACCTTGTTGAGAGAGTGGCCAATAGAGGCAATGGATGGAGGGATTCTCTTCTATCCCAAGCTGGAAAGGAGGTCCTTCTAAAGCCAACTCTAACAACAATCCCAACATATTGTATGCCATGTTTCCTATTACCAAAGAAAATATGTAAGTCTATAGAATGGAGTCACAAAAGATTTTGGTGGAGGGAATGAAGAGAAGAAAGGGGTAAGGTGGACCAGCTGGGGCAAATGTGTAAGAATAAGTCTAATGGTGGGTTAGATTTTAGAGATTTGAGCTCCTTCAATCTAGCCATGCTTGCTAAGCTGGCTTGGAGGCTCTGTTCTGATACAAGGAGCATGTGGGTAAGGGTCTTAAAATCAAAATACCATCCAAATTTCCACTTTCTCCATGCAAGTCTTAGAAGTAGGCCTTCTTGGGGTTGGTGGAGTGTGCGGGAAGGTAGGAAAATTCTAAAAAGAGGCATCTTTTGGAAGGTTAGTATTGGATTACAAATAAAGGTGTGGAATGATCCATGGATTCCAGGATTAGAGAATTACAAATTAGTGGGGCCAAGGCAATAAAATTCTACAAATTTAGTAGTTTCAAATCTGATTGATCATGAAAATAGGTGGAATAGAGAGAAGATAAATGTTTTCTTGCCTCTAGTTTTTGCACAAAAAAAGTTTAGAGGTGGACCTCCCTTCAAATCCATGGGATGACAAATTGGTGTGTGTTGAAAGTAAAAATGGGGTTTTCTTAATAAAATTTGCTAATTCATTGCAAAGAAATCTCAAGAGGAATTAACCAAAAGAACTAATGATACAAATTTTAATAAATCCTTATGGAATCTAATATGGAAACTCCCAATTGAGCCAAAAATTAAGCATTTCCTTTGGAGATATTGTGTTAATGGTCTAGCCATGAAATGTAACTTATTTAGAAGATTATTATTGGACTTAGATATCTGTGACAGATGTGGTAAGGAGGCTGAATCTATTATGCACACTTTGTTGTTATGTGACAAAGAAAGATGCATATGTTTGGTATCAAGTTGTGGCATTAATCCAGGATTTAGCAATCGGTTCCTTATCTTTAAGGGCTAGTTGAAGTGGATTTTTTCTCTCAGTTGGACCTCCTAGTAGAGATTGCTCGAACCCTTTGGAGTATTTGGAAGGATAGAAATGCCTATTATTTTGATAAGGAATATGTAAATCCCTTAGTTGTTATTTTCTCTATTCGTAGATCAATAGTGGAGAAATCTTATCTTCGGCAATCAGGGGTGAGCATTCGGTTTATTCGATTAAAATCAGGCCGAATAAACCAAATTTTTAAAAAACAAATTGAAAAAAATAAAAACTGGACCGAAACCAAATTTTAGAAAAAAATGAAATAACCAAAACCAAAATTTTCTGTTCGGTTTTCAGTTAAAACCAAATTTTAATAATATATTCTATATTATATATATTATAACATATAATATATATTATATTATATATTATAAAATATATATCATGAAATCAATTTTCATTATATTAATATATTAATCTATAAATATATATTATAATATGTATTATATATTATATCTTACATATTATATATTATATATTACACATTATATACTAAAGTTTGTTTTATTCAGTTAACCAAATTTGTAATTCTAAAAACCAAAACCAAAACCAAAACCGGAATATTCAATAACCAAATTAACCAAAAACCAAACAAACCGAAACTGAAATTTTTGGTTCTGTTTTTCGGTTTTAACCGAAGAATGCTCATCAAGCAATAGAGATTGGAAGGCTCTTACAAAGTTAATCACCATGCGATTTTGGTTTTTGTGTTCTACCGGATCAGGGGTGCTAAAAGACCAATTCAGATGGTGAATTTTTGGCAAATGGTCAAGCTTCATTTTGAGATGTCACAGCGGTATCTGTTGGGGAGCTGGGTTTGGTCCTGTTAAAGCTTCCACATTGATAGTAGCTGAAGCCAAAGATTTATCTAAAGATGTTTCTTTTGCTTGTTAGTTAAATAAAAAACAATGTTCTTTTTGAATCTATAATATCAGTTTAGTGAAGTTTTTGAATGAAAAAGATGGTTGTGTAGATCCAAATATTTATTTCTATTGCAGGGACATTCAGAATATTGCAACCAACAAAAATTACAACTTTCAGTTTTGTCCAAGGAAGGCGAACAATGTTACCCATGTAGCAGCAAAGTTTGGTTTCTCCCAAGCTTTTAAGTCCAACGTATCGCCCTCGTTGCCTCTTAGATGTTGTTTTGTTGGATCAAGTTTTTTTTTTTGTTGTTGATGGTTTTTTTTCCTATTTTATTATGGGTAATTTTTTGTTCCGATTGTGTTGTCTTTTCTTTTCTATGCCTACTTGTAATCTTTCTTCTCATGTGGTTAATGAAAGTCATCTTTACAAAAAAAAAACCCTTTTAGCCCCTTCTTGGGTGGACTTATCCTACGGGTGCAAATTGGGTACCTAACTTAAGTAGTTAAGTAATTTATTCAACATTAGGTATGTCCTTCTAGTTGGCCTCATTTGAATTTTAACAAATCCTCATCCCCAATACTCCCAAATTGAACCCTTAATGGCTTAACCTAATCTGAACTTTTCCCAAGCTTAGGTCTCAAATTTTTGGGCTTTGAGCTCGACTTGGACTAGAAAACTCAAGCGAGTCAAGCTCAAGTTAAAGCACCTTGCTTAAACATATGGTATAAATTACAAACATAATGCAAAAATACTCATTCCAAAGTATTTGAACATTTATTCATCTATCTAAACAACCTTCAATTATTTAAATTTGGTGTTGTTTGGAAAGTTTTTTTAGAAAGATCTTCTAGCAGCCCAAATGGCCAAAAGATATATTGAGCTTTTGGGGTCTTGTCTTTAAAAACAAAGACCTTAGGGTAAGTGGCTTAATATACTGGAATTTTAAAAACACGTTCAAAGGCTATATATCAATTTTTTGAACCACCATTGGCTTGGAAAATCAGACTATTCGACCCAAAAACCATCCAAGTAATTGGTTCCACTTCACTCTTAACCCTTTCTTGGGCCGAAATCTGTTGACTTGGTTAGAGAACCGCTGACTTGGGTGGTCAAACCATCAATCCGAACAATTGCTCGTGGTTTAATAAAGATGTAGAGGAGATTAGAGAGGAACTAAGACGATAACGATCTTAGATTTGAGATCACTATATCACATAGAGAGAGAGAGAAGAATAAGAAGAAGAAGATAAAACAAAATTGAGGTTGGAGAGGAATCAGATCTTAGATATGAGATCTATGTTTTTGCTGTCGTTGCAATTTTGTTGTTACCGCCATACCGCCATTGTCGTCGCCATCGCCATTTGTTGGTGAACGTTGGATCCTCCTCCTCCTCCTTCCTTGCTTCCTTTTTCTCTCTCATTTCCTTTTTTTTCCCACTTGCTCTCCTTCCCTTATTTCTTTTTTTTCTTTCTTTCTTTCTCAGTCGACAACTGTAATCTATCTTTCTCATAAAAGACTAAAAGTTTAAAAGAGTAACAAAAGTTAACATATAAACAATATTTGCCCTAATAATCCAAACCGCCTAAACTGTTTGACCCAGACAATCAAACTGCTGACCTGGAAGCTGATGGCCACAACGGTTCCATTTTTAGCTTGATTTTTAAAACCTTGTTATATATCACATGGAAAGACCAAAACTTCATTTGAAGCTTTTCCCAAAATTCAGTGTTTTTGGTCTTTTCAGGTCTTTTTGCACACACACCTTCTCATCTTTCAGACTTTTGGTTAGCAAACAGAAAAATATCGATTTTCGGTCTTTTGAACTCATTGAAACCCCAAAAACTATGCTGAAAGACTTGTCAAACACTACCTTAATTAACTAACTTTTACCACACAAAAGTTATTAAATATAGGCCCAAAAGATGTGGGCTTTGGACGGATTGGGCTCAAGCTTACTGGTCGTGCTTGACGGTCCAAGCTTGGTCCTATGTTTTACATTTAGGCTGTGTTTGGTTTGAAGGAAAAAGTAGGAAAAGGAAGAGAAAGGTGGAGAAACATTTACAAACCATGTATAATTTTCCCTACCTTTCCCTACTTTTTCCTTCAAACCAAACATAGCCTTAAGATTGGCCTGGGTTGGCCCCAAGCCCGGCCCAACCCACCCAAGTTTCACCTTTGACTCTACCGCTTGTGCTTCTCTCGAGAACGCATACCCGCGTAACCCGCAGTCTTACCTGAAGTCCTCAATTCTGTTCCTGTATCTTCTTCCTTTCGGCAGCCATATACCGGTCAACCCTAACCCTAAATTAATTCCATGGCGGGAGACGAAGCGGAGACTCTGAAGAGGCATCGAAGATCTCCCGACGAAGGAACTGAAGGGGTCTCGAAGCGCCGGAAGCACAGCCACCGACACCACCACAGCAGTAGCGGCGGCAGCCATCATCGTCATCACCGTCGTCATTGCTGCAACAAAAGTGACAATAACAGCAAACATGAAGAAGGCGACTTCACTTGGCCTATTGCTATTGTCCCAGCCTCTAATTCATGTCCAGATGACGAAAAGGAAGAAGGAGAGATTCTCGAAGAAGAAGAGGAAGGTTATCAAATTGGCGATGTTGCAATAGTAAAGAAGAAAACAGACTCTGATATTGAGTCCGGCGAGATTGAGCCAGAAGAAGTCGCTGACAGATCGGATAATCGAGGTCGTGATTCGGTAAGTGCAGATTCCCTTTTGTTCATCTCGTTTTCCTTTCTAAGTTCGGTTCTAAAATCCAAAGTCTGGTTTTGTTACATACTATTACCTGTTGACTTCGTTTCAATGTACTTTGATATTGTTGGGACTTTGAAGCCCTTGTCAGGGTTTTATTGCAAAATTCGTTAGAACCTTTGTTTGCCTTTTCCCTTTGTCACTAAAAGGCAATTCCTAAGAACCTATCTTTTTTCTTTTTTTTTTCTCTGTTCCCTAAAATTGGTTTCAGTTTTAGAAGTTTGTCTGTTACCATGTTCTCTTATTGCTATTGGTCGTAAATTAATCGCCAGTTAACCAAATTCAAGTACTGCGTTACACATTTTTTCAGGCGAAGTTTCTATAGGCATTTCCTGAAGATTGATGGTGTATAACGAGTTTTTAAGATCTGTTCCCTTTTTTATTAATTTTATTTTGAAATATAGGAGCTATCCTTAGACTTTTATGTGCTTATATTGAACTGTAGAAGCTATCCATAGAATTTTGCTTGTTTATAAGATTAAACATTTTCTGTTAATGCTGTTTATTTTTTTCTGCTTTAGGAGAGATTTGGTGAGTGGGACTTCAGTTCCGGTAAAGATCAGGAAGAGCTTGAGCTAAATCATAATATGCTGACAGAGAATAGTATAGAAGAAAATGCTCAAAGTTCAAAGGCCTCCAAAGATTACAAGGTTCATAATACTGTTTCGGTTTTGGTTGGGGATAGGAGAGACAATGATGAGTACCAGCTTCTTGAATGCTCTGACAGGAAAGATGTTAAGAGCACACTTTCCAAGGTTGATATTCTTGGAAATTCAAGGACTGAATGTCTGGTTTTTGATCAGAGAAACCATGGAGAGGCAGAAATTGATGGGTTAAGCTCTGAGTATGAAGCCTTCAAATCCAGAGAGAAGGGAGAAGGGAGACATAGTTGCTTGTCCTCCAGAGATGACATGCTGAACCATGATAATGGGAATTTTAATCACAAATTTCATGGAGAGGATGAAAAACCTCATGCAGAGCCTATATCCTGTCCCAAAGAAACTGGAAAGGAGAAGGATTGCAGGAATGTTCAGGAAAATGTGTCAAAAAGGCATAATAGGTCAAGATCTCCAGTCACTAGAGAATATGTGGATTCAAGCAAGAAAAGAAAAATAGATGATCAAGGGGCTAAAACTGATTTCTGTGGGGAGACTGAATGGCGTGATTCAATAAGACACAAATCAGAGAGATATTTGGAATTGAATGACGCTGACAGAATTGATGCAGGGCATAAAATAAGATCAACCTTTCTATCTAATGATTGGTTCCACAAAAAGGTCCATACTAGGGACAGTTCAAGGTCTCATGGTCGTTCTAGAGAGAGAAGATCCCCATCCTATAGCATGTTGCAAGAGAAGAGTAAAACTGATTCTGATCATGAAAGAGTGGTTAGATACTGTAGTGAGGACAGACATAGTAGTAGAGACTGGGTGAAGGACAGGGAGGAGCAGAGTAGTAGCAGTTACAGAAGATACAGTGGGCAAGATAATAGGCATGGCAGTAGAGAGACAAGAAACAAAGATAGGAATAGGGTTAAGGAGAGAGATAGAGCTGGAAAAAGGGATCCAGACTGGGATAGGAATATGGAAAGAGATAGGGAAAGGGATAAGGAGAAGACTAGAAATAGGGATAGAGACAAAGGCAGAGATAGGGAGACCCGGTGTGACAGACCCAGCAGGCATAATTATGATGGACATGAAGATGACTATCATGACCAAGAGAAGTACAAAGAGTCCAGGCATTCAAAATATGATGAATTGGAACAGCGGGATAGAGTAAGAACAAAAAATGCACCAAAGGTATCTAATTTCATGAATGGTGATTGCGAGGGACATGAACAGAAATTACAAAGGTTGGGGTTCTTAAACATAATCATTTAATTGTTTCAAGTTTCTTAGGTTGAATTGTATTTGACTTCATTTACATATTTCTGTGTTCTAGAGATGAAGAAGAAGACTATGAAGATAAGATTGCATTGCAACTTGTAGACCAGGAAGAGGAAGATCTTGACAGAATTAAGGAGAGCAGAAAAAGAAGACAAGCCATTTTAGAAAAGTATAAACAGCAGCAATTACAGCAACAGGTTCTATCTCATTCTGAGAGCTTGGGTAAAGGTATCTTTTAATAATATCCAAGTTTACCTTAGGAAGATTGTATTTGAAACTCAGAATTGGCGTCTCCTTGATGCTTTAATCTCTTTCTGTCTGTCCGCCCTCATGTTTTTCTCTGTTCACTTGTTTTTTATGATTCTGATCTACTTTATTTTGCACTTATGCTACCCTTTGAACCAGAGGAGAATTATCTCAATGTTGAGAAGCCATCAGAAAAGCCACCCCCTCCAAAAACTGCTGTTAATGTACCCCCTGAAGCTGTTGAAAGTGCGAACGAAAATTCAGATTCCTGTGCAGTTGATGTGTCATTTTCTGTTGGGAATTCACCACTGCAAAATGGAATTTTGGCTCATAAGAGGACTTCTGGTGCTGTGGTACTGGGAGATGGTTCCCCAAAGGTTTGTTAATCATACCCCATGTATACATATATATGACCCCCTACATTCATTATTTTGTGGGCTTCCATCCTGAAGTTTGTTAAGCATGACTCTGCTGCTTCCTCCTTTTATTTAGTTCATTCTCTATATATTTTGTCTTGTATATCGATTGAGAAAACTATTTGCCTTCAGCTTCTAATGCTGCACCTACACATGTAACTGTTTTATCAATCTGTGCAGAGTGAGAGATCAGATGATATGTTCTGTGACGATATTTTTGGTGAGTCACCTGCTGGAATTCGTAAGCAGGTAATTACCAAGTCTTCTCTTCCCTTTTTGATTTTACTGTTTTTATTGCAGCTTTTGTATTTAAAGTAATATCATAACATAGCTTTTCTTTTTAATTTTACTTGTAGTTGCTCTTTTCCACATGCCTCTTTAGAACGAACTACAACTGTTGTAGCCTTCTTATCCTAGCTTTTCAATGCCCATGTAGGTTGGGGCAGGGACTTTATTATTGCCTTTTCTAATGTGTACCCATCGTTGACAAGATTGAGCAGATGACTTGGCTATGCCAAAGTGATACCAATGAATGTACCATTGAAATGGACTTGTTTCATGGAAGTTGATGGTTATAAGGTTATGGTGGAACTGTCATGGTGTTCTTATAGTTGTAATTTTTATCTCTAAAAAGTGAAATTTGCCTGTTTTATTAACTATTTACTGTCTTTTTTGATAAGCAAAAGAAACTGAACGGTGGATAATTACAAACAGTAGCATTTGAGTTACATAGAACAAATAAGTACACTTAGAGTCTCAAATCTGCTAATCCCCACACTAAGCTTTCCCGGTTATCCCTGACTATGCTAATGTGTCTGCCTGTGCACTTGCTGATTTTGGAACCCATCTGAATGAGCTGTGCAGAGTGTGTGCCAGATGATGTATGTTTCAGATAATATGTCCAGGGAATTTCCTCACATCAAATCCAGCTTAGAATGACTTGGCAATCTCCTCCTATTAGAATATCTTTCTTCTATCCTTGTAAGGTTACAAGCTTCAGTCGTTATAATAAATAATAATGCCATTATCTCAGCCTTGAGTTGCTGATTCTGATTGGCCCTGAATATCTGAGCAGTATATTGTCAAGATGATCTCTTACTGATCTACCAATGCTTGCCATTCCTGAGTTTCCGAGGGTGCAACCATCAAGATTTAGCTCTAATTTCCTTCTTCTGAAGCCTCCCATTGTGCCTGCCTATTAGGAACTCTCAGCCGAAAGTTCTCAATTGTTTGTCAATGTCTTATCATGGTATCAATGTATACACCTTTAAATTCCTCACAAGCCAATGCCCAATGCACTACTCTCACTGTTAGGATATCAATGAAGGTGTTGATGTCTTTCTCTATGTCTTCAAGCATCTTTGCATTTCTCCCCAAATTCTGCACAAAATGGCTGCTCTCATACATTCTGATAGGATTTTTTAGGTTAGATTATCAAAAATGAAGTTTTAAAGTTATTATATTACAGATAATTATGTATGCCAAATATAATCGGGTCTTATTGGGTCAGACCTGATAAACATGATTAATGATCAGTTTGGTTCTGGATATGGTATTATGAACCCTATAGGTTCTGGTTTGGAGCTGGGTCTACATAGTTTCCTTATTGGTTTGGGACCGGGTCCACACTGTCCTGGACTATACCCCACCCATTGACAGCTCTGATCAAACAAGGTCCTGGGTGTGGTTTACCTGAATGATCTTGTTTTAGATAAATAGAAATGGACAGATGCAATTCATGCTGTCAACTCCAATTAGATAAATAGAAATGGACATGCATGAGCATTCCAGCGTTCAAACTTTAATTTTAAACTTAATGTTTAAAAAAACTATTAGCTCAAATTTAAACACATAAACATAACATATAAAACATATCCAAAGTAAAAAAATGCAAAAATAAAATAAAAAATAGCATAGAAAACATATTCAAGGATGCCAAGCTTTTAATTCCTTTAATTTTTTTTTATCAGTAAAGAAGGATAAATTCTATTAAAATGAAAAAAAAGATTACAGCCAGCAGGAGAACACAAAACACAACAATCAAAAAGAATTATGAAACTGCCCAGAATAGATTTTGTCTGTACACTCCTTGTTTTGCTAGCGAGTCAGCCATCCCATTTGCAGTCCTCCTAAAGCTCCCTTGCTAAACTTTCAATCTCTCGCAAGGAATGTCTATAAATCAAGGAGCATTACCTCTGAAACTGAACCAAGAAATCGCCAGTTTTGAATCTCCTTCAACCTCCAAATTTTTAAAATCTGCTTGTTTGGCAAGTTTTAATCCCTGCAAAAGCGCATGAAGCTTAGCCTTTATGGAGTCACCTGCCCCTATAGGTCCTGAATACATAGCCAGAACTTTGTTTGTTGAGTCTCTGAATCCACCCCCTATACCTGCCAATCCCGGATTCCCTATGGAACTGCCATCAAAGTTCAACTTTAACTTATTTGCACGGGGGGTTTCCATTCCATCACCATCTTATTTGCACGGGGGGTTTCCATTCCATCACCATCTTTTCTTTCCTCTTAGTTGAACATGGCACTTCTTTCCAAGCCCATAGGATATCAGCCACAGAGAAGCTTTGGAACAGCACGAGTGTTGTTATCCAATGAGCAACTTTTATCTTTACAGCTTCCACCAACTCTTCCTTTGGTCTGCATTTGCCATTGAATATTCTTGCATTCCTTCCCTCCCAAATCGTCCATGACACAGCTGCCCTCGTTGATTTCCACATTGTTCTTCCCCTCTTTGTCGGCTGCCTTAGGAAGTTTGGATTGAAGAGGCTCACTACATCCTGTGGGCAGTGTTTTAAAAGCACAAGGACCAATTTGCGCCTGAGGCGCAACACGCAAGGCGAGGCGCGCGCCTTTTTAAGAAAGGCGCAAAATTACAAAAAGAAGCTAAAAAATAAAAAAATCAGAAAATTGAAAAATATTAAATATGATGTTAATAAAAGTATAAACTTAAATTTTAAAATAAATGATTTAAAAAACCTATTATCTAAAATTAAAATACATAAACATAACATGTAAACTGTATTCAAATGAAAATTTAAAAATAAAAGCAAGCATGTAAAACCCACAATCTCTTTTTTTACTTAATTGCATTGCTTCAAGTAGTTAATATGATGTAAAACATATCGCATTCTTGACTCTATGAGTCGCCTTTGTAGCACGCCCCTTGAGGCAAGCCTGAACAAGTCTATGTTAGGGTCTGAAATTCTTATTATGTGAGAAATAAGAATTTTAGACCCTAACATAGACTCGTTCAGGCTTGCCTTGAGGGGTGTGGTCGGGGGTCCAGGGGCGGAGCCCCCGGCCCAACCATTAGACTAAAAAAAAAGCAAAAACCGCAAAATTTTAAATAGGTAAATGCCTGGGTTGAGGCGCAAGTCACATCAGGCGCACGCCTTTTGAAAGGGGTGTGCCTAGGACCTAGGCGAGGCGCATACCCCAAAATGCGCCTCGCCTATGCACCTAGGCACACCTTTTAAATCACTGCCTGTGGGGAGCTCCACCTGCAACCAAACAGAGAGCAAATAGACTTCCAAACAAAAAGCACATAAGGACAGTGGATCAGTAAGTGAGAGAGGGATTCACCATTCACAAAACAAAGAAAGCACATATGAGCGGAGAGGCACAAATGAGGTATCCTCTTTTGAAGCATATCACAGGTGTTCACCTTTCCAAGGAACATCTTCTAGCAATAAGTTTGAACTTTGGGTGGAATGGGCTTACTCCAAATCTCCTTCACCGGGGAATCCTCTTCCCCCGGGAAGAATGCACAAGGGAGTTAAAGAAAAAAAGAGCCATTGGAAGAAGTGGACCAGACTCTAGTGTCCTCCAAAGATTGGACTAGAAAAGCTGATATGAGGTTATCAAAAAGGCTTAATAAGATTTCACATTCACAATCCCTTAGACCTCTCTTAAACCCAAAGTCCCAACTCACACCGGATTGAGAAAAGGTGATGAAACTTGAGATAGGTCTCTTCTTATAGTCAGAAATCAAGTAAAGATCGGGGAAAAGAGAACAAAAAGGAGAGTCAAAACACTAAAGGTCTTCCCAGAACAGACCTGGAACCACAACCCACATCATATCTAATGAAGTTAAGAAAAGTTGGATATACCTCTTGAATTGCTTTCCAAGGAGTGTTTGAGGTAGATGTCGGAGCGACCTTTGCATCCCAACCATTATTTCTTAGCCCATGAATGCTTTCAATAACCTTGTGCCATAGCCTGTTCTTTCCAAAGGAAACCTTCAAAGCCATTTTCCTAGCAGCGAAGCATTCTTGTGAATTAAATTCCCCAACCCTGAACCTCCCTCTTCTTTTGTCTTGCAAACTTGTTCCCACTTTACTAGATGGTCTCTATTTTCATCCCCGGGCTCCCAGTGAAAGTCCCTCATTTGTTTCTCTAACTCTCTTGCTACCCTCACCGGGACTCTAAAAGTGGACAAGAAATAAACTGAGAGGTTCGCTAATGTTGCTCTAATTAAAGTTATCCTTCCACCAATGGATACGTAATTTCTCTTCCACATAGCCAATTTCTTCGTAAATCTCTCCATCACTGGTTTCCAAAAAACCTCTGGTCTAAGGTTAACATGATTTATATCTTTCATTCCTAATTCTACAAGCCGCCGTTATAACAGGCTCCTCAAAGCAAGCTCAAACAAGTTCGTGCTAGGGCCTTGAAATTCTTAATCCCTAAAAAAATGATTTTATAATTTTAATTATCTTTTAAAAATATCTTTTATTGGGATGAATGGATGAACAACATTAGCAAAATGCCAAAAAGGGGGTTCTCAAAGCTTCGGTGAGCAAGCAAAATGAATGAGAATTATTAGTAAAATGAATAACATTACCATTTTGCTAATGTTGTTCATTCATTAATCCCAATAAAAGATATTTTTAAAAGATAACTAAAATTATAAAATCATTTTTTTAGGATTAGAAATTTAAGACCTTGACATGGACTTGTTTGGGCTTGCCTCAAAGGGATTGGTTAGGGGTCTGGGGCTGGAGCCCCGAGCCAGCCACCATTCCTAAAATACACCAAAAAGTGCCTTGCACCTTGCCTCAAAGGGTTGGTACACCTTGCACCTCAGCCCAGGCATGTGCCTTTTGAAAGTGGATGCTTTGTTTTTTTTCCACATTAAAATGTACAATTGATGTGGAAGTGGACTGATTGTGTTGCCAGTAATTCTCAATTCTATTTTTTTTTCTCATGTGATTCCGGAGGTTGTACCTTGTCTCTCTTCCTTGTATTAGCTGATTTTCAACTTTTTGGCTTTTGCAGGGGAAGGGAGATGGTTTACAGATTGAAAGGAGCGGCCTTCATGACAACTGGGATGATGCAGAGGGATACTACAGTAAGTCTGATCAATTTCTTTCTTTCCTTTGTTTTTCTTCAGCAGATGTAGGTGGCTGAATTTTTATGGCCCAGGCTTCTAATTTGATTTTTGATGGTTCTCTTCATTTTGCCATGCTTGTTGTGCATAATCTTGTGGTCCTGGATTTCATCCTTTCTGTACAGGTTACCGATTTGGAGAAATTCTTGATGGTAGGTATGAAGTTACTGCTGCTCATGGAAAAGGTGTTTTTTCTACTGTAGTTCGTGTGAAGGATCTCAAGGCTGGGAAGGGTGATCCAGAAGAAGTGGCCATCAAAATCATACGCAATAATGAGACAATGTCTGTAAACTTGTTTTTCTCCCATGGATATTGGTTCCATTTGTCATAAATTATTGGATTTCACAATCATTTGAAAAATTTACTATTGCCTACCTTACAGGTACAAGGCAGGCATGGAAGAACTTGTCATATTGAAGAAGCTAGCTGGTGCAGATCCTGAGGACAGGAGGCATTGTGTTCGATTTCTCTCAAGTTTCAAGTACCGGAATCATTTTTGTTTAGTTTTTGAATCTCTTCATATGAATCTACGTGAAGTTCTTAAGAAGTTTGGCCGTAATATTGGACTTAAACTGACTGCTGTGAGGGCATATGCAAAGCAGCTTTTTATTGCGGTGAAGCATCTGAGAAACTGTGGTGTTCTGCATTGTGACATAAAGCCGGATAACATGCTGGTAAGTTATCTTTTTGGTCACAATCCAGATGCTTTCTTGTATAATTTCTTACCATTTTGTCATTGCTGATTATATAGGTGAATGAAGCAAAAAATGTGTTGAAGCTTTGTGATTTTGGCAATGCCATGTTTGCTGGTAAAAATGAGATTACACCATACTTAGTCAGCCGCTTTTATCGTGCCCCTGAAATAAGTAAGACTTTTGATTGAGTCATTAGAAAGTTGTTTTGATTGTTGGAATAATTCTTCTTACTTGAAGTATGTGGAGTCCTAACATTGCTTGGGTTTTTAACATGTGGATTTGTATCATGTTGCTCCAGTTCTTGGTTTGCCATATGATCATCCAATGGATATTTGGTCAGTTGGTTGCTGTTTATATGAACTTTATTCAGGGAAGGTACTTTTTCCTGGTCCATCGAACAATGATATGCTTCGCCTCCATATGGAATTAAAGGGCCCTTTTCCTAAGAAGATGCTGCGCAAGGTTAGGTTTTGCCTAGGGATGCAAACAGATCGGGTCGGATTCGAATCAGGGTATATTTGAATTCGATCCAACATTGTTCATGTCGGATCCGATCCGATTCAAAGATCTGATCGGATATGATAGGATTTGGTTTGAATTTGAATCCTATTGGTAAGTCGAATCTTCGGATCTGATCCGTTCCAACTTGTTTTTTAATTAATAAATTATTAAAAGAAAAATAAATTGTACTAATTTAAATAAAGTAAAAACAAAAAATACAAGTTTTTTTTACTTATTTTCATCATATATACATGTTTTTTATAAAAAAATAAATAACATAACAAATTTATAAAAATATATTTATAAATAAATAACATATATACGTATTATATATATTTATATTTATAAATATATAATACATATCGGATCGGATAGGAGGGGTGATCCTAATCCAATCCGAAGATCTGAACAGGGGTGATCCGAATTCGACCAAATAGGATCCGAGCTCAGATTAGGTCATGATCCGATCAATTTGAACCCCTAGTTTTGCCCTTTTTCGGGTTACTTTGTGTTGTTTTAATTGATTCGTTATTATGTAGCAAGTATTGAGTAATTGACTTTAGCTGCCTTCTATATGACATCAATGCCATGCAATAATTTATCTAGACCTTTTGTGTCTTATTTTTTCGTCATCAACATCAAAATATGGATTTTATTATTTGGTAAGATAATATGCACCTCATTTCAGAAGTTAGAATGAAGGCAGAACAAACACATCTTAAAGTTGGCAATTTGCAATATTGTTGCTTCAAATATCGGACTGTAGCCCTGTTGAGCTTTTGCTGATCCTACTTCTATTTTTTCCTCTCTTATCACAGGGTGCATTTACTGATCAGCATTTTGACCAGGATTTGAATTTCCATGCCACAGAAGAAGATCCTGTTACGAAGAAGGTGAGTATTTTCTTTTTGGCAATGCAGTTGCCAATTTATTGTTGATTTTGGATTTAACAACTGTAAAATGTCAGTTCACCTTTATGTTGACTTTGTTTTCTGTAAATTTGAACAAGTTTTCTAATTTGTTTTTGCAGATGGTAAAGAGGCTTTTTCTCAATATTAAGCCAAAAGATATTGGTTCCTTGATTACAAGTTCCCTTGCTGAGGATCCAAAGATGTCGACAAATTTCAAGGATCTTCTAGAAAGGATATTTATATTGGACCCAGAAAAGAGAATGACAGTATCTCAAGCATTGAGTCATCCATTCATCACTGGCAAGTGAACAAAGATGCTGATTTTCTGACTCCAGAAATGATGTTAAGCTAGATAGATGTTATTGGTCTCACTTTTATAGATCACTAATCATTGGGCATTTCCCTGTCTTTTTATCTCTCTGTGTTGGACCAAGAGCATTTGTCAGAGAGTTATTGCATGGATGAAGTGCGAAAAAGATAAAATGATGATGTTTGGTCTGGAGATCATCCTTCTTGACAGTTCTTTCAGTGGGATATTTTCAGTCTATTGTAAGATAACTCGCCGAAGGCGTTTTCATCTCTTGTAATCATTCTTGATAATGGGCTTTGTGAAGATTTGTAACATTTATTCTCCCCTTTAAATTTTCTTTTGAACTTTATAGTTCCCTGCAGCCTTGTGGAGATATGCATTTGAAAATTTCTAAGAATAAAAGTAGTTAAATTCTCTGTGGTTGTAAAAAAAATGTGTTTTTGATAGCTAGCTTCCTTCTCTATTCAGGGGACTGTTACTAGAAACTTGGATATTTCATTTTTTTGGTTACTTTTTGCTGCACTTTGTGTTTCACTTATCCATGTGAATTTGATTCTGGAGAGTCTAATTATATTTTTCATTCAGGGTTTCCTCCAGTGCTGAGGCAACGATTCAGTGCTTTAGATGCTTAGAAGGCAACCAGAAAGAAGGTATCCTGGTTTGTTTATTAGGTAGCTTACTGTCACACAATTGAAACTAAATGGCATAGTTGTAACTGTAAAGTTGTTGCTTTGAGCTGTTATAAAACTTTAATTCAACTTCAAAATGGTACTAAAAATCAAATGGTCTGTATTTATGTGGCCAGCAAAATCTTTACCCCATTTCTTTCATGGCTAAATATAAAAATAGAGGTTAGTAATCCACAGTATATCAAGATATATACTTTATCAGTCTATCTATCAAGTATATATATATATATATATATACACACACTTCAAGATAGTTGCACCACATATTTTGAATGTTTCTTCTATTTACCCTCTATATTTTCATAAAACCCCATTACATCTGATCTATCCTTTGATCATTCTGGAGGCTTTTGCACTGGAGATGATCGGTTGCACTGCTGTGGTGAACTGTAGTTTGGTATATATATATATACATATACACACACACACTTCAAGATAGTTGCACCACATATTTTGAATGTTTCTTCTATTTACCCTCTATATTTTCATAAAACCCCATTTCATCTGATCTATCCTTTGATCATTCTGGAGGCTTTTGCACTGGAGATGATCGGTTGCACTGCTGTGGTGAACTGTAGTTTGGTAAGTGTTTTCCCCTAGATTTTGAATAATGTTCATTAACATGTTCTGTGCTTTTCCATTTCTTTTGTTTCACCATTTTTATTAAGTACAGTGACAGCAATAGTGAACTTATGGTTGCTAAGTTATCTGGATTTGCCTGTAAGTATTCTACTTCTCATCTACATTGTGAACTGCCCACCTTAATGTGGTTCCAGTTATAGTTTCTTTCTGATGGTAAGTGCCATATGCACTTGTTCTTTAGAGTTTTCTGTTCTCTATTTTCTTTTAGTAAATTTTCTCAGTCTGATGGTAATTGTCAATTCCCTCTTGTGTGTGCCCATCTTTTGTTTTTCTCTTAATGGAAGGGCTTTATTGCTTAGGAAAACCGTTTCTGTATTAACTTATCAAAAAAACCTGCCTGTGGTTTGAGTTCCAGATATCTTGGTTGCTTGATTTCTCAGTTTAGGGCTATACTAGCCTGATATTATATAGAACAAGAGTGGGGCCATGTTTGCTATAACAGATTGCAATTTGATGTGCTTACATATGCTAGTCTTGATGCTTTTCTCATTTTTTTATAGTTCTTTTATGTGCTTTTGTCGAGCGCCAGTACTTGCCTACTCTAGTAACATATCTTATATAAATTTAATTTGTTGTTTGGAAATTAATTTTGCAGTATATAGATGTATCATCTGATCAATGATCCGTCTGTTGAAGAGGCTGTTCTTGTTAGTGGATCCCTTTCATCCTTGGGTATATGGTGGTGCATTAGGGATTATGTTGTGATAAAAAGAGGAAAGTCAGTTAACTGATGTCGTAATAGCCTTAACACAATTTTAGAAATCAACAACTTTTTTGAACATAATTCACAACTCTGTCAGATGGTAAAATGTGAATCACGATTTGTTGAATGACTCTGATATAATACCATCTAACTGGGCTACATGGCGAATGGTGGGTTCAGGTTTCCTTTTGTGCTATATTGTGTTTATGCAGTATTGCACTATAACACCAATTGACATTGGGTTATATTATTCTTCTCTTCTGATTGGGAAGATTAAACTGTTCTTTAAGAAGAATATAGAATGTTAATATGAGCTACAAATGGATGCTTTCTTTATATATTTTTTATGATTGCAAATATAAGTTTATATTTAAATTTTAGGTTTAAAAGAATTTAATTTCATTTAAGACCGGATGCCCGGCCTGACATACATAGACTGGGCCTGGGCAATGTGGGTATATCTTGTCAGGCTCAGGGCGCAGGCCAGTCTCCAATGGCCTGTGCATATTATCACTTTTCTTTTATTTTTTTCTTGTTTTTTTCCCTCTTGTATCAAGTTCCTTGTGTGTCTTTTAATTATCCTTGCTTTGAATGCATGAAATGCACCGCATTTGCTTAATCACACAAATGGAGATAGTGGCACTCCTTTATCTCTCTTCTTTCACAATTACTTCCCTTCTATCTCTTTAAATTTAATGGCTGTCAAGGTGGTGGTTGTGTTCACTTTGTTGAGCTCATAGCACTATATTTGTCATTGAAAGCTGTAATTGTTTCCTGTCTTTTTTGCTGCTGGTTGAGGTGAATCTCTCACCTCTCCCCAGGCCGATTGTATTGATATTTTACTGATTCTAATAAAATTCACTTATCAAAAGAAAAAGCTGTAACTTCATTAATTTGTCTTCCATTAGAAGGGGCATGCAAAGGTCTTGAATTTTAGTTCAATAGAAATCATGCAATCGGCTAGTTGCGTGGTTATTGAGAATTTCAATCATTCGATTGGGAAAAACATCTTTAATTTGTATTTTTTTCCTTCAACAATAAAAAGTCGTCCATAAACAACAGTGGTGACTCTAGATAAGCATACAGGGTGACCTACGTTCCACATGAGTTCTTCTATGTGATATTTGGCTTTATTAGGATGGTGAGAATACTAATGAAGGTTGATACATAAGCCATCAAGGATGAAATTAAGTTTATGAATCAAAAAATGGGGGGTTATGCATTCGGATTTAGTTTTGACTCTGAGGCTCCTTAACTCTTAGATATCATGATTATGCAAAACACTATCTACGAACTTGAGGTCAGATGTCAGAGTTTTAATTATAACCGGACCTTCATCTAGGATTGACACTTGGCCCTCCATGATGTATTCTAGTTGTTGATGACTGTAACTGGTGTTTGATAACACTTCTCAAATGTCCAATGTTTAAAAATCTTGCTTTTTAGACGTGTGATACATTTGCGTTTAGGTCTGAACATAAACTTTAATAAAATAAAATAGGTCTGAAATGGTAAGATATGGCCCGATCACTCGATGTGGTTAGATGATTTTCAATGCCTAGCCAAAGCCCTAAAGGCCACTAAAGGTTTTTGAAATGACATGCGTTGCCCCTTTTA